GGTACCTCACTTTGGAATTCTAAGTTAATGTTGGAAGTGAGGAACCTAAGAACTGATAAGCGAATAATCGCTAGAGTTCGATGACAAGAAACAACAAGAGAGAAGAGTAACTAACCCTTTATTATTTCGATAAGATTTAACAAAACTCTGCCTGGGAGTGTACAAGTAAAGCCCGCACTTTGGACTTGAACTTAAAAGACTAAGAATTAAACTAAAACTAAGATTAACTAAATAAGTATAGCCAAAGCTATCAAGGTTCAATTAGAGTTGGTCCCTTAACTTATTTTACTACGAAGCTTAGCAAGGGCCTGAGTACTGCCGAGCGTAAAAACAGCTTTGAGAGAGAGAGCGGCCAAAAAGGCAGACGCGCGTAGTTCAGAAATTCTGATTCTCTCTCTGCCTCAGTAAGTAACTTCGTGGTTTAAATACCGCTCCTTCTCATTAAATATTCAGCAAATTCCAAAACTACGTTCTGACCGGAAGTAGTAAGTTGAAGTTAAGAATTTGACAGGAAAGGAACTTTAACTTAAAATTTAACTGTTAATAAAATTAACATAATTCTTACATAGCTTTCGACCAGACTTTAAATACTCGAAAAATAAGGTCTCAAAACTACCTTGTTTAAGACTTTAAAGTCTGAAAACGTACGTTAACTACACTCTCCCAACTTTTAAATTAACTAAATGACTTTAAAGTTTCGTTTTTAGGGCCAACTTTACAACAATTCTAAAAGCTAGACTAAAGCTAGGAAAAATAAAATTTACAATTGATGCTTTCTGGACATTATATCTTGACATACATTTTCATACATAGACTCTTTATTCTGCTAGACTTATGTCAGGTCTTGATCCTTCCATATCTGGAAGGAAATGGCATTTTACAAAACTTTTCTTTAAATCCTAACTTTACGCTTTTAATTCATGATTTGACCCTTATGCACTTTCATTCATACTACAGCAAATGCTCTCCATGCTCTCCAGCAAATGTACTGAAATGTACTTAGGGTCTTCTATGTTGTGTTACCGCGAACAAAACTACCACTACATAATACCTAACTTTGTTAAATTTGACACACTAGACCTTCTAAGACTCCCTACACGAAAACTGTTTCCTAATGTAGTAAGCAAAAGCTTATATTTTACTTTTAAACGTGTTAACTGGAGAGCCTAACATTAAACACATATATATAAACATTCCATTCTTCCATAATTCCCATACACAGAAATAAAAATTTATTTTCTATGTCATTTTAATCTTTACGATATTTCAACACAAAGATCAAACATTTCTACATGAACATGCACATTTAAATATTTACACACCACTTTTGAATTCATTTTACATCAACAGTCATAGTTGCTTAATTACACTTTATCAATATTTACACGAAATCTTAACTTTACGTTAACAGATTATAGTATTCCAATAGTCTTCCGACTAAACTTATTCACAATTTACTTCTCGCAACTTGCGAGTTCTTAACAAAAGTATTTAACTCTAGTAGCTTCTCGCCAAATTACTAACATAAAAATCTATGCTTACGAACATTTACAATCAAAATTTCGCTATCTGCGATTTAACTTTTCTAAACATATTTAGCAACTTATAACAAGATGATATAATTTGAAATTCAAAGAAAAATTAGCAAAGAAATTTTCACTTATCTTTTTCTGTATTCCTACATCCTGTCATTACAGAACTGTTCAAATGTAAAAACCTGATGACCTCCAATCTTCTTCTCGATGTTTGATGTTCCGTTCCGTTTAGTTCCAGTGTTTTCCTTTTTGTCCCCTTATGTAGGAATCTGGGACTCTTGCGAGCAGGTTGTGGATTCTGGAATGCCAATTTCCTTTTTTGCTCCGGTGGGGCTATTCGTCCTTCTAACTTGTTGCTCCGGCACAGTTGTGTCTACTGGTCTTTTCTGGCTTTTCGGTCTCCACGCTGGTTCTCCTTGATCTCCCTTGTAGTTGTTGATGCTGGAAACTGTGCTTTACGTCTAGTTTTAATTCGTCGTTGAATTTTCTCCTTTCCTGGAACCTTGTCAACAGGCCTTCCTCTTGTGGTCGATGGCACTTGAGTTTTTGCAGCATCATCGGTTCTGACTCGTTGATCTGTCGGTGCTAACTTTCTCCTTTTTTGTGCGCTTGTAGCATTACTGGTATGGGTTTCTCTGGTCGAAGTTTGCTGGCTCTGCTTTCTTTTTTGTGTTGGGGGACTTCAGCTGTACTCCTGAGCTGGCGGCCTTCTCTACTTACTTCCAGGATCCTGTAATAAATCCTGCAATATTTTAAAGTCAGTGCGGCTGTAATAAGGTTTCAACTGATCGATATTTGCCACCAGTTGTTGGCCATTTTCGGCCTTTAAATAAAACGTGGCTTTCTTTTTTTTTTTATTCTTTCCACCATATACGGCTCTTCAAACCTGGGCTCAAACTTCGCAACTCTGTTTTCTGGTGCCGACGATAACGAATATTTCAACTTAAGAACTTTTTGTCCCACTTTATATTCCAATTCCCTTCTATTTCTATCGTAATAAACTTTTTGTTTTTGTCTTGCTATATCAGAACTTTTAATTGCTTCGTCAATAATTTTTTGAACGTCTTTTAACTTGAATTCTTCTTGTCTCTGTTGTACAAAGAACAGCTTATCCACGGCGTTATGATTTTTCTTTCTAAAAATAACTCCGCGGGGGTTTTCTGTGTAGTATCGTGCTTTGCGGTTCTCAAGGCAAAATCTAACTCATTGATACAGCTGTCCCAGCGGTCATGAAAATTGTTCACATATCCCCTGATAATTTTTACAATATTCTTACTTACGCGTTCCGCTATATTAGACTGCGGTCTATATGGTACCATTTTTAGATGGCGTATACCAAGTCCTGTGCACAAATTTTTAAATATACTACTAACAAACTGTTTTCCGTTATCTGATATTACTTTTAGTGGGGCCCCGTATTTTAATATATATTTATTTAAGAACGAATCTGCGACTATTTTAGCTGAAGCTCGTTTAAGAGGAACTATTTCTACCCATTTTGAAAAATGGTCAACGATTGTTAAAAGATATCTGTTTTTATTTATTTTTGTCCTAGGGTAGGGTCCTAGCAAATCTATTCCAACTATTTCGTTTGGAAAAGTGGTCTTTATGTTTTTTAAACACCCGGCCGGGCTGTAATTAACATCGTTTATTAATTGGCACATATGACACGACTTAACATACGCCGTAACAACTTTCTGTAACTGCGGAAAATAAACCGCTTCGCGTACCCTCTTTAGTGTTTTTCGTATTCCGAAATGTGTTGCAGAAGGTAGATCGTGCAACTCCTCTAAGATACTTAAACGTAGACTCGCTGGGATTACTGGTCGGTATTCCTGATTTTCATTAGTTACCTTTGTGTAAAATAACAATTTGTCAATTATTTCGTAATGCTGTACCCTATTGCGAATAGCCGTTAAATCTATATGTTCAAATTTTTCAGGGTCTACGAGGTATGCGTAAGTATCTTTAAACTCCGCATCCTTTTTTAATTCTTCGATTATTGTTTCACGGGACTCAATAACTCTTGAGGTGAGCATAGCACACTTGAATGTGTTTCCCTCTTCATCAATTTTTATTCGCGAAAGGGCATCGGCGACCAAGTTTTCCTTTCCCGGAGTGTGTTTTATAATTAAGTTGAACTCTTGTAATTTTAAAGTCCAACGTATCAAGCGAGGCGATAAATTTTTTCCTGAATACAAGCGACCCACTGCCGCATGATCTGAGTAGACCGTTATCGGTGAACTTCCGAAGTAGACACGAAACTTCTGAACTGCTAATAACACAGCGAGCGTTTCTCGCTCAGTAGCGGAATAGTTCCTTTGAGTAGCATTCAAGGTTTTCGAAAAAAAAAAAGAAAGCTATAGGTTGCCCATTTTGAGAGAGCACCGCTCCAACTGCATAATCGGATGCATCCGCTGAAATTTCTAGACCTTGCTCGCCTTCTGGGAATTTAAGGACTGGGGCATTGATTAGGCCATTCTTTAGTTGTTCAAACGCGGTGTTCGCCTCGGCTGTCCAAGAAAATCTACTTTGCTTTCTTTTTAGTACTAGAAGAGGCTCAACTATTTTCGCAAAGTCCTTTATGAACATTCTATAATAGGAACATAAGCCCAAAAATGAAAAGACAATTTCTTAGCCGTATTTGGGGTAGGATAACTTTTAATTGACTTCATTTTTGAATCATCAGTCTCTATTCCCTTATTAGAGATTTTGTACCCGAGGTATCGTAATTCCTTCGCCGCGAACTTGCATTTTCTTGCATTTATTTTGAAACCGGCCTCGTTAAGTAAGGCAAAAACTTCTTCCGAATGTTTCAAATGTTCCTCTAATGTTTCGCTGGTAACTATGATATCGTCAAGATAAATAATTGTACTTTTACCTAAAACTGGCTTTAAGACTATGTCCATACCTTTTTGGAACGTAGCTGGCGCTCCGCTCAAACCAAAGGGCATTCTTAAAAAGGCATAGACGCCTGACTTTGTTATAAACGCGGTCTTCTGGACATCCTCCGGCTTAAGAGCGATTTGAAAGTAACCCGACGTGAGGTCTAGGGTTGCCATGAATTTAGTCGAGCGAATGTTTCTAATTATTTCGTCAATTATTGGTAGGGAATATGTGGGATAATTTAATTTGTTATACTGTTCAATTTACGATAATCAACTGCAAACCTATATGCGTCTGGGTGTTCAGGCGGTAGTCCGTTCTTTTTTTTTTTACAAAGGAATACTAGACTTGCGCGTACGAACTCGTGCTAGGCACGATTATTTTGTTTTGTAGCATTTTTTCAATATGCTTCTCTATAATTTTTTCTTTAGTTTTATCATATCTGTATGGTTTCGACCGGACTGAAGGGGCATTCCCAGTGTCTATGGAATGACTAACTACCTGACAAAAACCAGGTTTGTCGTTAAATAGCGAATTAAATTTCCTTACCAATCCTTCAATCTTCTTTTTCTCTTTCAGGTTCAAATGTTGTAGAGCAATTCCGGCATGGAAACTTCATCTTCTTCTACCGGGTCCATGCGCACCTGAAACGTAGAATTCTGAAAATTAAGATTTGCGCCGAATGCGCGTAAAAAAATCGACCCCAATGTCACAGACGTGAGTAAATTTTTCACGACTAAAAATTTAATTTTTAGGACTTCGTTTTTAATCTGAACATGCAGTGCGGTTTTCCCCAAACATACGCACTGTTTGCCTTACAATACAATTACTTTCCTGTCCCGTGGCTTTAAACAGTCTGTAACGACGAAAATGTTTTTTGAAAAAATTTCCCAATAGGAATGAACATTGTGCCCCTGTGTCCAGGAGTGCAGTGGTTGGTACATTATTTACCAAAATCTGTACCTCCGGCATAGCAAGATTTTGTACTACTACTGTATTTAAACAAATTTCTGAGGGTCTTCTGTCCCAGTCGGTGACCGTTGTCCCTTCTCGATCACCAGTTTGCGTTTAAATTCTGGTTACCTGTCGCCTCTTTTCGCTGATTTTTATATCCACCGCCCTTAGATTTATCTGCGCTCTTGTTATTGAACTTATCACTTTTTACCGTCTGCCGATAAGCCTTGTACTGAATTTGTGGTTTCTTTTCGGGAGTAAATCTTGAGTACTGGCCAAACGGACTTGCACGCGCTTTCTCCGAGTTTCTTCTACTTTGAAATTTCATTGCAAACTGAAATAGAATTTCCAATGTTTGCGGATTACGCACTTCGAGAAAATCTTGCGCTGACGGTAGAAGACGTCGCAGAATTATTTCAATAATTTCTTTATCGGGCTTTTTCCCGTATAATAGATTAAAAATATGAACTTTTCTTAAAATGAACTCCGTCAAATCCTCGAAACCGCCTTGGTATTTGCTATATGATTCTGATTCAAGCTTCGCACGATCTTTAACAACTGGAAATGCTTTTATTAATGCCGATTTGAAATTTTCCCAGTTATATGATTCAGATCCTGGGTACTCTAATAAGAACTTTCCTATACTCTTCTGCCAGCTAAGGGCTTGACCTTTTAAGGCTGTAGTAGCGATGATCCCTTTTTGTAGCTGATTCACAGGGTGTAAGGTGTAAGGTGAAATGTAGGTCTAGTTGCTCCAAAAATGTCAGGACTGAGCCCTTGCCATCAAAAGTGGCGGTTGGTTTCATAGCTGCATGCAACGTTCCCACGAGGAACCCAAACCCTTCTATTGGATTCGTGGATGTTGTAGGGACCTGAAAGGTCGGAGGGGTCAACGTAAACTTCCCGGATTCTAACTACATGGTCCGTTTAGAATTCTTTTCGGGCGCCAATTGTAAGGTACCTCACTTTGGAATTCTAAGTTAATGTTGGAAGTGAGGAATCTAAGAACTGATAAGCAAATAATCGCTTGGGTTCGGTAATAAGAAACAACAAGATAGAAGGGTAACTAACCCTTTATTATACTAATAAGATTTAACAAAACTCCCCCTGGGAGTGTACAAGTAAAGCTCGCACTTTGGACTTGAACTTAAAAGATTAAGAATTAAACTAAAACTAAGATTAACTAAATAAGTATAGCCAAAGCTATCAAGGTTCAATTAGAGTTGGCCCCTTGACTTATTTTACTACGAAGCTTAGCAAGGGCCTGAGTACGGCCGAGCGTAAAAACAGCTTTGAGAGAGAGAGCGGCCAAAAAGGCAGACACGCGTAGTTCAGAAACTCTGATTCTCTCTCTGTCTCAGTAAGTAACTTCGTGGTTTAAATACCGCTCCTTCTCATTAAATATTCAGCAAATTCCAAACCTACGTTCTGGCCGGTAAGTTGAAGTTAAGAATTTGACAGGAAAGGAACTTTAACTTAAAATTTAACTGTTAATAAAATTAACATAATTCTTACAATATGTTGGCGCGTTTTGAAATTTGGCATATTTGTTGAAAGTGATAATAACATATAATGTAGTTTACGCACTTTCTTAAAATTATTTGAAAGTAGGAATGATGTGGCTTTTTTTCCGCTCATGCACAATGTAAAATGGACTGAACAATGACACTTTTTTACGCTCCCGCACAATGGAAGGTATAGGAAAGTGTGTTGCCATGCATTAAGAAGTTCTTTTTTTTCTGTTTTTTTTTAATTGAAAATTTTAAATCCTTGTGCAGCACATAGCCAAGTGAATTATTCTTGGCGCAAACTGAAAAAAATTCCTTAAGTTAAATTTTTGAATTTCTTCGTGAATTTCGCACAAAATTTTACAATTTACATTTTACACAAAATTTTTACAAAATTAAAACGAATAAAACAAATTAATTTAAGAAATTAAACAATAAAAGGAATTAAGCAAATAAAAAAGAAACAGTTTTTCACAGACGATTCAGCGCTTCTTACCTAATGTGTATAGGCTACTAATTAATTCAGTTCTCACTTCGCGGCAAGGCAAAAACGCATAAAAATTCAAAATATTTTCATTAAAATTTGAAAGATATAGAAAAACATAAAACACCATGTACAGTTAAAGCAATTAAAAAAAATTACAATTAAAATTACAGTTTCTACGGAAAAGCAAGCTAACAACTTAAATGATAATTTCAGAATGAATTAAGCATAATTTAATTCACAATAATAAAAGAAGACGTTACTTTGTTGTTGCGAAGCTTAGACTGGCAAAAAATTACTATTCTGCTAAGATTCAAATGTAAACAAATATGGCTGCTATGGAAATCAAAAATTAGGCTTAGCCGCACTTAAAAAAACTTTTAAATTGTTGATAATTCCACAATAATTGCACGCAGGTTAACTAAAGGCATAAAAATCTTAACAGGAAGATAAGAACAACATAATTCAATCATTCTTAAAGTAAAAAAGGCACAATTTACAAACATATAAATAATAAAGAAACTGAGCTCAGCTGAGTAACAGAGTTGACATATATATATATATATATATACTTTTGGTGCGACAGATTGTAACCAAAAGGGGAGGTGCATATCTACACGTTATAGCAGTCCTATATACAAAATTTAAACATTCTGAGGCTACTAGTTTTTGAGTTACGCGAGATACATACATACATACATACGTACGTACGTACGTACGTACGTACAGATGGCTACGAGATTTTTTTCAGTTTTATAAGAAAAATAGTCATTTATTCTGTCCTTACTGACAGATGTCACGCAAAAACATCGTTAAATTGCATTCGGTAGCGGTCAAAATGGATATTTTCGTTGAAATATGATACCCGACATTTTTTGCGATTACAATACTTACTTTTTACTTCGTACAAGGAAGTAAAAAGAGTTAAAATGTCATGTTTGTGATGAGGAAGGTTCTTCCTAATTTTTTGTCTTGAAGTCATTTGGCGTCGTTTGTCACTTCCGTTCAGGAATTGGTTATCGATGGCAAGACTTCATCAATGACACTTCGTCTTGCCTTTTAATTTCTATCAAAATTTAAATGATTTTATAGGTAAAAGTTTACAATTGGGTTGCCCCTTGTTTTTTGGTGATTCTTTTTTGACGCCAAGATCGGCGCCAGGAAGACACAATTTCAAGATGGCCGCTACACAAAACCAAAATAAGAAGTCAAAGAATTGCATAAACTCTGTGTCCATGTACACATCGATCTGTTTTCACTTAAAGAAACATCCCAGAATTGCACAAACTAGGCATTGTGCACTGCTTTAAATTTGACCATGTACACATCAATCTACTTTTATTTAAAAAAAAAAATCAGGAGACTAAAGCTAGTAGACAGCTAGTAATCAGGAGACTAAAGTTAAACTATCATGGTAACCAGAAATGAAATTTCATCGCCAAAAGTTTTCAAAAAATTGTCGCTAATCGATGGGGTACCCAATTCTACACTAGAGCCATTTTATATAAAGTAACCCATAATTTTTCTTATAGTGGCTAAGCGTTTTTTTTTTTTTTTTTTTTTAGAAAATGCGTTGTAAGTTCTTTTTGCTTCTCATCTTCAGAAATGCTAATTTAATCTTTTTCATTCTCTTGATATTCGACTAATTTTTTTAGAACGCCGTTTGAAAGACTTTCACCATTTGTAACTTGAAATAATTCTTTAATATCATGCCCGTTTATATTATCCAACTCGGTTTCTTTAGTTAGCTTGAAAACGAAATGCGTTAACATCCTTACTTACTGCGGTCATACATTCTTGCATTCTGATTTCAAGCATTGATGTTGTCTGGAGCATCCAAGATATTGCAGTTGTGCTAAAAATCTTTGATGGATTTTTTATTTTCTCCATCAGTTTTATTATTGTTTTATTTTCTCCATCAGTTTTATCAATCAGTTGTTAAAATGTCTGCCATAAATAAAGCTTTAAAATTTGAAATTATGCTTTAATCCATTGGTTAGATTAATGAAGGTGGGTTTGGCGGGGGCGACTGTTCTACTGGAACGTATGCTGTTCTGTATGTGATGTGTTGATTGTGCTGATATATGTGCTGACTGATGTGGGGATAAATATGTGATTGCTGTATGGCTAATGTGTTGATAAATGTATTAATAAATGTGTTGATTGGCTTAGGGCAGTAAAGCTTTCTGTTCTAGTTTTCTTTTAAATTCGCAATAGTGTTTAACAGACGGTTAATAATCAGGTAAACAAATTCTCAAAAATTGTTACAGTGATTTTGATTGGAAGATTTTTGATTGGATTCCTAAATTAGTGGTGTAGGTGATTTGAAACAATAAACAAATTCCAAATCAGTCCAGCAATACCGGTACCACGTGCGATTTCTGGGAATCCCAGTAATACCGCGTAATACTGAAACAGCATTAAGCGGAGCAGCATTAACAGGAGGTCTTACTGTACAACCCACCCACCGAATCACTTGCATCCGAACTGAGACGGAACACTTATGCTCTCTTTTAGTCATTAATTCATTCTTGGTCGTGGTCGTTGAACTGAAAGCTAAACAATAGTTACTTCTATAAGTTATTCGGATTAGAAACGTATCCTTAAAAAAGAACAAAAAATATTTTTGGATATTATGATGGAAATTAAAGTTAACTAGGAATTTAAACTATTCACCTTGATTTTGTTCTTTCAGTGAAAAAAGGGTTCCATTCCCAAAATTTTCTATTATTTTTGTTATTTTATACTCTTAGCTTTTAGTCCGGTATGAA